CAAACGCGCGCAGTTACCATACGAAGGGATGAATTTGTAAAACGATCTCCATAGGAGAGAGTGGATCTTCTGGCGGTATATGATGCTTTGTGTACGATATTCGGTCGAATGCTGGCTCGAATGAGTTTCGTATAACATCATAATGATCGAGGGCGTAACGATGAGTGGGCGGTTTCGCGGCCGATCTTCCGCTGGCCTTGTTACGACGTAACAGTCGACGTGTTTCGCAGAGTCATAAATTATAAGCCCGGTTTTTGGGGCGGACGACGTCCATTGTCCCCCTCCGCGAAATATTGCCGCAGAGATATTAATGGTGTGTGATACATCGACAGAGAACAAAGTGGGAGAATTAAAAGGGGTTGCGAAAGGGGTGGATTTGCGTATTTTTTTTCTCTCTTTTTTCATTTGCGGCCTAGATATTTAGCGCTCTTTAAGGGAGAAAGAACTACGATCGTTTTTTTTTTATAGCGCAACAATTTTTAATCACATGTCACGCAATTTTAGAAATTCTGTTATCCCACAAGGTCGTTTCGTTCTTTTACTCGCTTGTGGCGAAATTTCGAATATATCTTTTTAGCAAAAATAATTAGCGTGACGCCGTCGCTGTAAAATTTCTTTAATTTTGAAATCGGTGATAATCCCATGATAAAATTCACGTAATTTTCTTTACACGTTTCGTCGATTTGTGAGCCTAGGACGTTTTGTCCCTTGGCTTAATCCAATTGAGCGCAGTATTCGTCTGAATTTCTTGTCTCATTGTCCAGAAGCAACTCGAGAAACAAAATTCCTTGATCGAGGCCTTGTGTTTCTCCGAGTTCGTTTTCTTTGGGAATTGTTGAACAAAATCCTGCAAACTTTCTCATCCTCGGTTATCAAACGTTTCGGCGGTAGGTTCTTTCTTTCATATTGCGAGCAAACAAACATGTGCACGTTGCTACACGATTTCGTTCGATGAATTCACACTTCCCTGGTTAGCTTTGACGTCGTTCCCACTTCCTTGGAAGGTAGACGATGACGATGGAATATTTAGAACTTTCTTGACGCAAACTTTCAAATTACGTTGGGAAAATTTCAGAACTTACACTTGGGACGATCCGATATTTTTCTCAACGTCGTCACAGCCTGGTGGAGCATTTCGAAAAAATGTTCAAACAAAACGAAGACTCGAATGAGCTAGACCGGCTAGCTGCACGCAGACTTCAAACTTCTCTTGCAAAACAATTAAGATCTAACGATAATTGATATCGGTTTAAAACGGAGCGAGGCTTCATCAAGCCTCGGCCCCGGTAGTTCCAACCGGAAATTTCGTTAAATCACGAGATAATGGAGCAACGATAATGGCCATTCGGTGGCTGGCAAGCTTTCCCGGCGGGGAGTCGGGGCATCATTACCCACGAGCATCTCATTTATATAATCGAACGTCTACTCTCGCAGAGTCTTTATTAGTCATGCCCAAAGGCACTACGTAGAAAAATGAGAAGACTTTCTCTCTCTCTCTCTCTCTTTCCCCTTCTGCGTCGCAAGCGTTTAGCACTGCTAACGCTCTTTACCCTCTTCTTTGACTAACCGATCCGGAAATGATGAATTCGCGAGCCTTATCGCGACCCATGCGCCGTTGTTTCTCCCCGGTCGACTTCAACAAATAAGCTGTCCCGGGCCAGGATATTTCCCTCCCTCTTTGAGGGGGGGGGGGGGTTCCGTAATCCTTGTTGCGAACCCGGAAACCTGTCTCTCTCCTGCCGCCCTCTCAGTCGATTGCTGAACTTCTTATCGCGAAACGAGCAGACCATAAGACCGAAAATTGGACTTTCCGTTTGAGTCATCTTCTCGTAAGCTCGGGGACGAATTCTCTCGAATTACGTACCGTCTGCTTCACTCGTTAACTAACCTATCCTACCCATCTACCTTGCTTTGCCTTCTCCCTTTGCAAACGTAACTTCTCCCCCTCCGATAATTTGCATCCAAAGTTCCATCGACCAACAAACGCTGTTACAAGTCAAGACAGATGGACCATTCTCTCTTTCTCTCTCTCTCTCTCTTTTTTTTTATCAAAACATAATTTCATAATGGGAAACAACAAAGTGATCGTAGTTTTTCGCAGCCTTTAACTGAACGTTTTAGTTTCACGTATTTTCCATAATTGGTCAAAATAATACAGCTAACTGTATGCTTAATGTAGGAAACGATACAAAGAGTAAGTTTTATTAAACAGAAAAAAAAAAAGAAATTGTAATTAATGAATGTAATCTATTCAAAGGTGATGTTCGCTAGTTGAATTGTTCATTAACCAGAATTAATCGTTCATAGATGGCAGTAAAAATTCAGTTCCACAAATCTTACACACAGGTTGCCATGTTCGTTATCCGAAAACATGTGTCTGTTGCTCGAAACGTAAAAAGTATTCGTTGTCAGATTTCTTCGGAGTCCGAACTGTTCATTAATCGATCATCCACTGTATATATATGTATTTTCATATTTTTTATGTACAGGATGGAAAGAGAAATTTGTCCGTGGCTATCATATGTATGTACACCTTCAATCAGATTCAGTGTCAAAAGATCAAAAATTCTTTTTTGCATTGTATTTTCATCACAACTTAATAGTTGTTTCGAAAAATGGCAAAAAGCTTTCTTAACACTGCGGACGCGTGCGTGCTAACAGCGACTTTACGGTTCTGGATTTACACCAACATTTGATTTATCATAGTTGCAACATCGGTGTGAGTCTAAATAGTCAGATGATAGGACTAATTGTTAACATTGCTCGAAATATAAGTGTTATATTCACGCGTCCAGAACCATAAAGTCGCTGTTAGATCCGCAGTCTTAAATGATTAAGAAACTTTCTCGCCATTTTTCGAAAAAGCTATTGGGTTGCGACAGATGATTCCTTGGAAAAGTTCTATAATGCAAGGAAAGAAAAAGAAAATTTTTGTTTGACTTTGAAATTTAAGGTCAAGGTCAATTTTGCGACAGATTCTTCCCATCAAATCGAAGGTGTAGAATTCATCTTTGATGGGCCAGGCAAACTTTCTTTTCCATCCTAAGACAATTAAATGAACGAAAAGAGTGACAATGAAATTAAGTTTTCGAATTTTTCATTTGACCGGACATTAAACGCCTAAACGCTATCGCCCGAAGCTTCTTTTTCCCCTAGTCTTTCTCGCAATATTTCACGCTGCATCGAACCAAGTCGTCAAGATAACGTTCCCTGAGTTTCTCTCTCTTTTAATCCAGGCCGAAAGGGAGCGCTTTGCGAAAACGCGTGGTGGAAGTTCGATACTTTGATAACGAAAGTCCGAGCATCTTCAAGTCTCGACGCATCTTCTTCCGGCTCAATTAAAGAAGTTTCTTCCCGAGACGCAGTCTCAATGACGTCTCGGGGTTTCCCGCGTCCACCGACCGGAAATTACATACGTAGCCGTCTTTCTTCCCTCTAATTTCGTTCCGCGAAAACGTTCTCGCTTCCCGCGTTCGTCTGGCGAACGAGTGTTTGTTCCTCTTTTTCGTTGAATTAATTGCCAGCACCGCCGTGGTGTTCGACGCGCGTCCCACGAGCGGAACGATGCTGTAAACCGAGAACGACACCTCTTTTTTTTTTTTCCTTTTTAACAAGTCGTTTTTATTTGACACAGTTTCAATTCTCGCAACACGCACCCCGTGGTTACGTCACGCGCGACCGACAGACGTGCCGTGGCTTTTTCGACGAATTGTTGCGTCCCACCGTTTACACGAGAATCAATTGTCTTTTCTTTTTTTGCTTGTTTGTTTGTTCTAAACAGATCTTTTCAACTTGACGTAACTGAACAGTTTTTCGCAATAAAAGACGTTTTTAAAAGAAACTCGTGGTTGCAAGGGAGAAAGTAGGACGAAAAAAAAAAAAAAAGAAATCTCTTAATTTGGAGCTTAAAATAAGAAAATGACGAAACTTTTTGAAAGAGAAATTGTTTGGCTCACCTTGGAAAATTATATTTCCTGGATATACTGAATGAATACCGGATAATTATGAAAAGACGTATAGAATGCAGTACAGTTATGAAATTTTCAATCTTATCACTTAAAAAATAGTGAAAATTATTTTTTACAAATATCTCTGTCTTTCTTATAGAAAATTATGTCAATTACCAGCTTAGCAACTTTTTTACCGTATTTATAACACTAGACGTACGATCGATTTGGACTTGATAGGCAATAATAACGAGACTTTGTGTTTACGTAACTTCGATTACAGTAAACAGTGTACAGACATTGTGATAAATTTCACTTCGATGTTACGGTAAATTATTCTTCATCGACGATGGAGACTATCTCTTGTACAACGATGTAAAAACTCTCTGTTGATTAATTGAGGCTACCTTGTCGATTAGTTGGCGACTACCTCATTGATCAATTGAAAACTACTTCGTCGAAACTAGCGTATACTTCGTATCGATCTTCTCTTGCGTTGTCATAATTCAGTTCTTCGATACATTGATTTCAAGCTGTTATTAGAAGAGATGATCATTGACCATATAATAACAAACATGTTTATTGTCTGGCTTTCAATTGTCGCGTCTTAGCCAAGGTCTGTGATATAGATCAATTTATACATAAAACTCGAATTTTACGTATTTTTTTTTTTTTTAACAGCTACACGACGTAATAACATTATCAATAATAACGAATAGTTATGTTAATAGTAATAGTCTGTGTTATCAGTTATAGAGTGGAATTTTCTGGGAAATTTCTGGCCCAGGAGTGGACCATTCCCTGTTGCAAATTGTTCTAGCGAGGCTTCTGTGGACGCGCGAGAACGCCAATGGCAGATTCGCTCGCGGGACGCGTTTCCCAGTCAGGCCAATTCCGTACTTTCGCTCGTCACGATTAATTAGCTTAATTCTGGCTTCCTGTTGTGCGTACCGGCGCTGGGGGCATAACCGGCCGCATTCCGGCCTCATAGTCGACGCACGTGCGTCGCCGTAAAAGCACTCGTGGCATCCATCCGACCCCCACGTCGCGACGATGAGCGCCGCCGAGACGTCCATCTGCGTTTCCGTGCTCTGCGTATACATCCTCAGAGCCACGCCGCCATCTCGCGTCTTCGATCGTTTGGGTAAGGAGCGAATCAGTAGAATTAAATGGATCCGTGTTTTGAACTCATCTCTCTACGTGGTGATACTTTTTCTTTTTTTTTTTCTTTGTCATAAATCTCGATCAATTCGTTGATCGACATTTTGTTCTTCAAGTCGTTCACAGTCGTTCCTCGTGTGGTTCGATTAGACGAAGAAAGTTCAGGAGATTCTTCGATGAGACCAATCTTGCAACTCTCTTTGGTACCATTTCACTTTCGCTGATTTCTTCTGACTTCTGCCAACAGCTGCCCACGTTGCAATTCACGTTTCTGGTGTTCTCTAATTTGTTTAATCGAGCGTAATTTATTTTTTCTAGTTTGTATGATTTTTCGCCGAGTGACGAGGAATCATCCGACGATTGCCAACGAGGCAAAGTTCCCTAATCATGGGCTGATTCTTGATTCTTCGACTTTTCAGTTTGTGCTCGACGGGCCAATAGTTCTAGAATTGTCCCGTAATTTTTCCAAGTCCGAAAGATTAATCTAAAATTTTAAACATCAAGTCCTCGTGTTTGAGAGTGTTAAAAAAGTTCAAAAGAGAAGAGTCTCGTCTTCTTTCTCTAAATTCACAGAACCACGAGTGTGAATCGTGTCTCGTTCAAGTTTACCGCGCCGTGCCGCGAACAACTCGAACAACCGTTCTGATTAGGGGTTTGCAACTTGAAAGCAGTTATGAGTCACAATAATACGCTGCGACGGTGGTATACGGTATCTCGTGGAACCACGTTTGTCGTGAGTCAGAGACAATTTTCTCCAACCTCCCTCTAGGTACATGTAATTCCCCCCCCCCCTCTCTCTCCCTCGTATATCACGTTGCTTGCTCTACTTGTTGTTTCCTTCAATTTAGCACCGTGTACATTTTTCCCCTGCACTGCCTCCTGAATCGTAAACTTTGTAACAAATATATTTTATATAAGCTTCTTTGGAAGGCTCTTTTTCTCACGAATGAAAATAACATTCTGTGAAAAAGGGAACGCGTCAAGGCGTGGCGTCACCGCGGAAAATGGGACTGGCGACATTTTCCTAGCACGCAACGCAACACCGGCACCACTGTGTGTGTGTGTGTGTGTGTGTGTGTGTGTGTGTGTGTGTGTGTGTCCCGAAAAAGAGTCGCAAACCGCAGACAATTTTTTTTTTCTTTCCACCCCCGTGACTGCTCTTTGTTCCCGCGCTACCGGCTTGCGTTCTCTCTGTTTGCGCGCATTTTTCTGTGTCAATTTGCGCCACTTTTTACCCTCTCTTCTCGCCCTCGTCTGCTTCTGCTTCGAGATACGCTAGAAGTTACCGCAATGTGTTTCAACAAACGTTTTTGCGTTACGCGAGACACGTCGTATCATCATAAATTTTAGATTATACCGGGTATTTTTCGCTCAACATACATATATAACAGCTGAGCGAAAAATACCCGGTATAATCTAAAATTTATGTATATATATATATATATATATATATTCGGAAGAAACGCGAGAAGAGTCGTTCCTCTTCTTCAAGCAAGGAAGTAGATGTTTCGTACGACGCGATCTTATCTAGTCGAAATTGGCCGATTGAAGAAGCGACACGACGATGTTAAGCGGATATACGAGAGAGTGTGTGTAAAAATCGGCGCCGATTTCCCCTCACTTATAAGATGCAGTCGCGTTATCCTCGTTATCGCGGAATTATCGTGCAATTACCCGACGATACGAGAGCCGATTAGAGAACCTACTCTTGGATTCCAGCCATCCTTTTGTTCCTTTCATCTCACGCGCAAACGTCGTCGAAAGTCGTTAACGATCTAACGAGCGATTCTGTGTCTCGATTTTTGCCCGCAGCTCACGCCAAGGAGCCTTCCCTGGAGATCATGCCAAACGGGGAGACGCAGACCAGGCCGATCGGCTCCAGCATCATCTTGACGTGCAAGCCGAACGTCGACGACACGAAGCTGATCAAGGACATGCAGTGGATCGATCCTCAGGATCGCGTGATCGAGTCGCTCAAGTAAGCCTTCAATGAAACTGTCACGATGCGTAGGACTCGGCCAAACTCCGTGTCTTTAGAAATAATTCCGTAATTTCTTTGGAGCGTAACGATACCTTTTTTTTCTCCTTTTTTTTTTCTTCTTCTTCTTTGGCCCCTTTCTTTCGTCATCTGCACGGTGTATTCTCGTCTGACGGAAGCGGCAATTCGTACGATCGTGGAACGAATCGTATTAAAAATTTTGGCAAAGAAAAGCTTGATTTTTAGTCGAGATTGAGAATAGGTTCGGACGTGGCAAGGGAATTGCACCGGGGATTGACGTAGCTTCGATATTTTATTAAGCAGATTCAACTCGAGGTGATTAAAAATTGGAGACATTTTGCAAGTAACAATTCCATGGATTTTTGTGGCACGCGGTTATAACTCAAGCGGCGAAGTAAAAGACGTGTCGTCGCGGCAAACGTTTGCCAAGTCGGACGAGAGTGCACACGAGCAACGAGAGTTTCACGCTTCTGAGCTTTTCGCGACAATAAACAGAGCCGCCTTTAGCTAACAATTGGAAAAAAAAAGAAAAGAGTGTAACAGTGGGCCTGGCGTAATTTTCGAGTGGAGAATGCGACGAAACGATGATTTCTCATGCTTGTCTTTCTCTCGATGACGAGACGAAGATAGGAATTTGATAGAGAAAAAGGGAATAAGTACGAAGATAAAAACGTGGAAGAAAAATAAAAATATGGGCATTGAAAGGTCTGTTGCTCCATCTGAAAAATTACTGCCTGCTCAACTAACTTCTCCCAATATTTTTTCTTCTCTGTGAAAAAAAATAAAAAATAAAAAATAAAATAAAAATAAAACACACAGATAGAAACACCGACCGACACACAGCACTAATTTAACGAAATTTCTGTCACTTATCTTGCACACAGACTCGTCGTCTTGCCGATGGAAAGGCGAGTATACAAAACTCCATTCAAGACTTTTACACGCTACCCCGTAGTGTCGTTGCCAGTTCCCTCTCTGTTCTCCCATGGTCGTCCCCTTTAAATAAATATATGTATATTTACTACACTATGATATAGTTACTTTAGAATTTCTGTCACTTTCATCACAAACATAGACGACTCTTCTCTTTCTTTGCACACACACACACACACACACACACACACATATGTACATAAACACACGCATACCCACGAATATCATCGAGAAACGCGCGCACGACCCCGTGCAACCATCGACCCCTTTAACCTTCCCCTCCTCGCGGCTGATTTACGTCTAGTACAGCCCCCTCTGCACGGAACTCTTAATTGCTGCAGGTCCGCCCGATTGTTCTGCGAGCTAAGCGTTGCTCATTAAGCTGTTCGCGAAAGTTTCCCGCCTTCCGTAGCCAAACTGACTTCGCGTTGTATTTGAACGGTTAAACAGAGCCAAGAGCCGATCTCTCCCTCACCCTCTTCGAGTCCGCGTGTTGTTATCCCGCGTTATGGCGCGCGCCGCATCGCTGATGCAACGAAACCCGCGGCTGCTAATGTTGATGTTAAGCGACGCTCGGCCCGTGTTCGTTGTTCAACGAACAACGGCGACAAACAGCCGAAACGGGCAAATTCTAGCGAAGATTCGTTTCGTCGGGCGATTTTTAGGCGATAACATTGCAAGCTCGAGCAAGAGGGCAAGCTTCGTGCTAAGAGAGACGCAGCTTCATTCCTCGTTATTAAGCGACGTACTTTGCTACTTTCGCTGTTCCCGGGCAATAATCTGCAAATAAACTTTCGAAAATAATCGTTTCTTTAGTAGTTTTCGATTTCAGTTGATTTGTTTCAAATGCAGCCCATTTGGTTTTTGGATTAAAGGAATCGAAAGCTACGCAAATAATTCGTTTGGAAAATTGACGGACTTGGATCAGAGAAGATAATATTTATTTGATAATTGTAGATTTGTTCTTTGAAATAACATTCGGTGAAATCAGAATACTCAAATTAAAGGGAAAAAATGATCGATGAAAATGAAGATAATTTATTAGTGTGTTATCACGGCGGAAATAGAGTTCTGATCCGTCAATGAACAAAAGATGAGATATCTATTAAAGTTGCAAATAAGAATAGTCTCTCTACCGATGACGAAGACGCAAAGGGAGTATTATTTCTTTCATCGTCATCAAGCCGATATACATTTCAACTTGTATCTGATGGATCATGCCTTGAGAAAAACCAGTTATTTCTATCAAAATCAAACAATAAATAGAAATACCCTGGCGAATAGTGAACAATTTATTTCACAAAATAAATTTAATTGGAAATTAATTGGAAATAAATTAACTTAATTTCTATACGAAATACCTAACAATTCGTTACTTTAGATTATTATACAGATTATTTCAGAAATAATTTCAAAAA